TTATTTTTTCTGTTTGATAGAGCCATTAGCTGTTTAATATATTGGCTAAAGGCACACGATTGAGATAAAATAAAATAAGTGATCAGAATTTAAATACAATTAATATTTTTGTGGGAATGATTGAATTATTTTTTTAATTAAATGTTACAAATCTCCAAAAAAAAGTGTTTAAATGAACATCGCATGTTAAATTAATTGTAATTCATTTTTAGTGATGTTCTTACCAGGTAGTCGATAAGTTGTATTTATAATACGTCATTATATGACACATTGAGTAGCAATTAATAATTTTTTTATCTAAATAATTACATGATTTACTCATTAAATAACCTAATTAGTTGCAAATAATTATATATCAATATTTGCTGAGAAAAAACTAAAAGATGAATTATCGTTTTAGACAGTGAAGTTGAATAGACAACACAAAAAAGTAGCCTTTCAAAACGTTCATTTTGTATGTTTTAATTCTATGACTCTTTTCATTAATTCAGCACATTCTTGAATTCTGTCTGGAATATGTTTCTGGCCTCTGCATCACATCTCGCTCTTCAAAGGGATAGTTCACCCAAAAATGAAAATTCTCTCATCATTTACTCACCCTCATGTCGTCCCCGATGTGACTTACTTTCTTCAGATGAACACAAGCAAAGATTTTTAGTCCATTTAATGCAAGGGGACAGGAACGCTTCAGAAACCACACAAAGTGGACATGAAGTTTAAAATATTAGTATTTGTATTTTTCTTACAATTTCTTACAGTATTGTTTCGCTTAAGAAGACACTGATTCATTTCATGCAGGGGTTGTATGAGTTACTGTCATATTCACTTTGTGTAGTTTTTGAAGTGTCATTTTTGGACGTCCCATACACTTGCATTATACGAAGAGAGATGCATTTTTTTTCTAAAACTCTTTGTCTGTGGTCATCTGATGAATGAAAGCCATAAATATATGGGTACTTTTCCTTTTTTTAATACTTGAGTACAATTTATAGTTGTACTTTTTTACTTTTACTCAAGTATGTTTTTGGCCAGATACTTTCAATTTTATTTGAGTAAAATTTTCACTGAGTATCTGTACTTTTACTTGATTATAATTTTTGAGTACTTTTTATACCTCTGCTCGCTGATGAGGAATATAATGTAGCGATCTAGCATCTAGGCTATTTTATTACCGTATTGGCCCGAATATAAGACGACCCTGATTATAAGACGACCCCCCCTTTTTCCAGATGTACCTTTTGGAAAAAGGCTTTTTAAAAACCAAATCTTTTAGTACTGACCTGAATAAGATATTTCACATAAAAGATGTTTACACATAGTCCACAAGAGATGTTTTGAATTTATATAAACAACCCCGTTCAAAAGTTCAAATCCCCTTGATTCTTAAAGGGATAGTTCACCCAAAAATGCATACTGTATACTGTACACTGTACTGTATTCATGTATATGCTGTCAACTGTATATACATGAAATACCAATCCAAACAGAAATTATTCTCTATTTTTACTGGATAAACAAGACACAAATACTAAAAATAGACTAAAGAATATGATTATTCACACTGTAATCTGTGTATCACACTGAAACCTTTTGATAGAGATAATGAAGGCCTAGTTTCAGGTTATTTAATGTGCAGATTATTCCCAAGACAACATCCAGACTTTCGCTATTCTGTCTGCATGATCTGATGCATCTCTGCTTGAATGTGAGAGTGAGTGGAAATGAATGGCAACTTGCACATATGATCATCGACAGTGATAATGGTGGTTTGCATGTGATGCCAGTATATTAAATGATTGAATCTAAATAGAGTCGAGTCTGATACACTGGAGTGAAGATTTCCACCTTTTTGCAGGTTTGCATTGTATAATAAAAAGGACATCAATTACCCATATTGCCCCTGTGGAAAAGGTGTTCATGATTCAGCCATAAGAAATAGACTGCACTCCATCAGCAGATCTTCTGTTTGCTAAAGGCCCCTGGATGATTCCTTAGAAATTGAAGATAACAATTCGTGAAAAGATAAATCAAAATGTAAACTTTTGCAGGGTGAATTATATGTATACTACTGTTCAAAGGTTTGGAAATGTTATTACGCTTCGGAAATATGTCTCCTATGCTCATCAAGACTGTATTTATTTGACCAAAAATACAGTAAAACAATTTAAAATAACTTTAAAATAATTTAACCTTTTTCTATTTCAGTATGTTTTGTTGAATTTTCAGCGGCCACATGCCATTTGTAACATTATAAATGTCTTTACTGTCACTACTGTTACTGATCAAGTTAATGTGTCCTTGCTGAATAAAAATATTACTTTCTTTCAATATTAAAAAAAACTTACTGACCTCCAAACTTATATATTATATTACTATTTATGATATCAAGTCAAGTCACCTTTATTTATATAGCGCTTTTAACAATACAGATTGCGTCAAAGCAACTGTACAGCATTAATTAGGAAAATAGTGTGTCAATAATGCAAAATGATAATAGTAAACACTCATTTTCAGTTAAAGGCAGTTCATCATTGAATTCAGTGATGTCATCATCCAGCTCAGTTCAGTTTAAATAGTATCTGTGCAATCGATACTAATCGAAAGCGGGTGGGCAGGAACTGAAAATGCACCAGGAACTGAAAAGATAAGTTCATACTCAAAGACCTACTTTCTAAACAAGGCTCACATCAAATTATAGGTGTTCAGTTGTTGTTATTGCAGAAAAATTATGCAAACATATATTAGGAGACTAAATAAAGATTTTGATATTAAACTGTTTCTGTACTCGCGTTCATTATTGCGTTTTGTTTGAGCATTCTTCAAACAGTCAATCATCGAGAATACCTTAAAGGGCAAATATTTCTTCATACAAATTCAAATGTGGCGTTTAAAGTGAAATTTCTTTATGCACCAAGAGCTTGTAACACTCCAAAGAGAAAGGAAAACTTGAAATCGCATCATATGACCCCTTTAAACATCGATTCAAGACCTAAAGTGATATGGATGTATCACTGCCATAACTGGTTCAATATTGCTTTTAATTTTCAGTGCTTTTATAAACTGACAGCATGTCACGAGATGAAAATCAGAACAGAAAACAGGATGTTCTAAACTCGTTTTGCTTCAGGACACAGACTTTATATTACAATAGATTTACACTACAGATGACCTCAAAGCCAGCACACATGAAAACTTGGATCTCAAATACAAACGCGTGTCAACAAAGTGCAAAACATACTGTGTTCCCGCTGTTCTTATCAGGTAGGTCCATGCTTCCTTCACGCGATCACCACAAGTTCAATTCAAATCATCTTCCAATAAAGTCAACGAGAAGTGACATTAACAACATGGTTTGAATTTCAAATGTATGCCTGGTATTTGAATGAAGAGTTGTGGCGCTTGAAAGCTGAAGGCACGATGAATGACTTTCACTGTTACTACTGCTGTCATCTAGTGGTCAGTTGAAGAAGTACGTAGAGTAGCCTGCTGTTGTTATTATTTATATTCCCGTGTATTAATTGCAATTTATTATTAATTAATGTGTTATACACAATCGCCCCCCCCCGTACTAGGAGCAAGGCTGTTTAATAATGTTATTCAGGATATGCTTAGAGACATAAGAAGTGACATTAACAACATGGTTTGAATTTCAAATGTATGCCTGGTATTTGAATGAAGAGTTGTGGCGCTTGAAAGCTGAAGACACGATGAATGACTTTCACTGTTACTACTGCTGTCATCTAGTGGTCAGTTGAAGAAGTACGTAGAGTAGCCTACTGTTGTTATTATTATTTATATTCCCGTGTATTAATTACAATTTATTATTAATTAAAATGTTTTATACACAATCCCCCCAAAAATATATAACTGTAGTGTAGCCTACATTACATAATGTCAATTACATAATCAGATTTAAAAAATATATAATTACTTGTAATTAGATTTTAGCCTACTAGGGTACATAAAAAACACTTTCATTTTACTTTCATATTATTCATCAAATAGCAATAAATTAGTCATAATTTATTGATTCTCTCCAAGTTCTTCCCTTTTCCTTTCTAAAATAGCCTTCCACTTATATGCATTCAGAAAGTCTTTCAGTTTTGGACATTCACATTAAGAGTCAGGTGGCTGTAATTACACAGAAAATTGAGAGGCCACACAGCATTTGACCACTGGATTTACAAAAATCATTTCCATTTTAAAAAGTGTTTTCTCAATATTTCAACATTGCATCAACTAGGAACACATACATTTTTATTTAAATATCACTCAGTGGGTTATTTAATGTTTTACTGTCTTTAAGGCTTTTGTTTTTCAAACATGCTAAAATGCACGAATTCACATTATTTCCCATTTAAATGTAGGCCTAAAACAGAGACTCCCGGGTTTTTTTTTTGTTTAGTTTTTTGTCAGCCGAACAAAGTACCTGCTGAAATTTTAACGTAATAAGCTAATAATTTAGTTACACATTTGCATGTTCACAATTCATAGTTAATAAGTAATCATAAATTATCAAAACGTGCTCAGATATTACCTAAAAGTACAGTATATTACCTAAAATGTGTAGGCTAATGTAATGGATTACATTAGTAACTACAATTTATAAGCAATCTACTCTGCACTGCCTCTCATGAACCTTTAATTTAAAACACTGTGCTGTGATACTTTCAATAAACTGTAACTACAACATAAACGTACAGGTCTATATGTATTTTATATATGCTATGCTTTGAGTATTTGCGTTTTGTTTTACAGAAAACGTTATTCATGTTATAAAACATTTTTAAACAAATCATGACAGAAATATCACTTGCATTCCCATTAATAATCTCAGCTTTGCATATTTAAATGCGCATTCTCCCCTACTGATGGCGCCAGTGCTTAAAAGACTAGGCCTACTTGAAGTAAATAAATTATTTGTACTGCTGTTTTATGGGATTTTTTTTTTTCATTTTAAGTTACATTTTTTATTTCTTTATTGTGGACTAAATATCTTGTGAAACAGTGTACTAATTCGTCAAAACAACGTAGCTATATGGGCTGTGTATACGAGCATATGCAGTTATGTTTACGAGAAAATGAAACTGAAAGAATATAGGTCGTGTGTCATTTATGAATATGGCTTCGAACTATCAAGAGGATTCGGGTGAGTTTCATATAGTCTATTCTGGTATCAAATAAACAAAATTTCATAAAACACACAAGTTAAGTTGTCTACAAGCCAACTTAGTCGGGTGAGTTTCATATAGTCTATTCTGGTATCAAATAAACAAAATTTCATAAAACACAAGTTAAGTTGTCTACAAGCCAACTTAGTCTAGAGAAGACAGTCTTTTCAGCAATGTATCAATCTCAAGTATTGCGGTGATCTTGCAGCTTTTCTGTGGTTTCGTTTAACACTCTCTCGGTTAATGTGTCATCCTCTTTTCTAAATGTGATTTTTCTAAAACCAGTCGAGACCACTTGTCAAACGTTTTACTGCAGTGAATATTTCACGGGGTAGCCTATGTTCGTTTCGGAAAGTCAACGTCTTAAAGATATGACGGGGCATGTTGTCACAATGGGAACCAGCGCCCAGTTAAAGTTGATCAGTCAAGTTACTCCACCCTTAGCCGAAACTGTACGGGTTTCATTTTCTCCAAATTGTATATTGATTCAAATTGTTCTCAGAATAATATGTTTTTCTTCCTAGATGAAGGAAGCTACCAGCAATCTAGTGAAAGTCTCCCAGAGTTCGGTGACAGTGACACAGATTCTGAGGCAGCCAGCGATTCTGGATCTGACTCTGAAGAAGATGCACAAACATCTAGCAAGGTAGCCTACATCTCTTAAGACATTTCAAAGGAAAGCATGTAAAACATTTCAAAGGAAAACATGTAAAAATGTACTGTACCAACAATACTCAATAAAAAGTGAAAGTATCTTCCACAAAACATACTTAAGCTTAAACTTAAAAACATTTACATATGTAATTAAATCCATATATCTAGAAATTATGCCCACATGTAATTAATTTAAGTATTTAAAAGCAATTATTTTTCTTAGCTTTACAACACACTGGCTCTAAGACACACTCCATGCTATCCTGAAACCTGTGTTTTGTTTTGTTTTTATGTATTTTTGAATAAAATGGCAGATTGCTTTATCTTGCTAAGGCTAAATGTTAGTTATCAGTTTATGCATCCTAAGTACATCAAATTTGTGGCCTTTATTTGGCTTTTAAAAATGTCCACATTAAAATGTTCTGTGCACTACTACCAAATGAGTAATACATATGAATAAAATAAATAAAATATAAATAATATAACAGTCTCACAGTTCAAAAGATGATTAGTAAGAACCACATTATTGAATGTGAATGCAGCTGGAGCTTAAAGGCAGAGTACATGATTACTGGTAGCCAATGTTGATATTTGAAATCACCAAAACAAACACGCCCCTACCGCAAAAGGGTCTTGCCCTATTTTGATAGCTCCGCCCCACATATACGTACGCAACCCAGGCAACGATTGGTTCTGTGAAACAAAGCAAAACCAATGTTACACCGTGTCTACGGACGTGAGCGGCGCGGCGCAACAAATCCCGACAGAAAACTGCTGCCGGGTTCTATTTATGACGTGCTGACATACATTTCAAATGGTTTTCAACGGTCGTTTGATCGCGTCCGGTGTAGGCAGACTTTAGCTGTTGTAGACACTGTGTTACTCACCTATTGAGAAGAAACATAGCAACCTCGGCGTCCGATCGCAGGCCTCCGCTCCTTGAGTTCTCTCCAGCGCTGGAAAGCTGATCCGATATTTACACGGGTCCTACTTCTTGCCTTATCTTTCCGCAGACGTTTTCCTCTTTTGTTTTTTTATCCGCCATCTCTATCTTTCTGTCGCTCGGCTCGGCTAATGTCCGTCCCATGCACTGAAAGCTCTCTCCTCCACATCACGAGTAGACACGCCCCTTATTGCTGATTGGCTACAAGTTTGTTTTGCTATTCGGCCCGAATCAGTTTTCTAAAGTGTTTTTGAAAAATCACATACCCTGCCTTTAATAGGTGAATAAATCTTAATCAATTATGATGCTTTGTGTTCAAGCGGAATGTCTGTATGCACTACAATCGTGGTCACTGCCGTTTTGGGGACAAGTGTAGGAATGAGCACATATGCAAGGACTTCCTGAAGGGTTCGTGCAAGTTTGGTGCTGGATGTCGTCTCAACCACAACAGTCAGAGTTCATCGTCAGGACAGGGCAGACGAAGAAGCAGACCCTCATCTGCAGGTATGTGTGTATAAGGGGTATAAAAGTATACTGATAAATTCTACATATTGATAAAAAATGTACTGTATCAACAATACTCAATAAAAAGTGAAAGTATCTTCCACAAAGCATACTTAAGCTTAAACTTAATTAAAGTTACTTAATTTAACTGTAATTAAATCCATATATCTAGAAATTATGCCCACATGTAATTAAAGTATTTAAAAGCAATAATTTTTCTTAGCTTTACAACACTCTGGCTCTAGGACACACTCCATGCTATCCTGAAACCTGTTTTGTTTTTATTGTTAAATGGTGAATATAATATAATATAATTAGTGCTGTCAATCGATTAAAAAATATTAACTAATTAATCGCACATTTTTCTGAAATTAATCGTGATTAATCCCACCTAACATTAAAGTTTTTAAATATACTTTTATATTGCAATAATTTCACATTCAATCTTCAAATTAATGTACAAACAACAAAAAGACAGTATATTTTTAAATATTTGTTTAATGGCATCTTTTTTTTAATGACTGAAGGCCAGTATCAATGACACCAATACTGATTTCTCTATAAAATTGCTATCAATTTTAACATTTATTAGACTTTAAACAATAACTTCTAATTTAAGTGAACTTAAAACAATCTTCAAATAAACCCATTATAATAAATGTCATATTTACCTGTGCCCTTCAGCAGAAATATACAGAAATTGAAATTGAAGTTATCAAACGCTAAATTCTAAATTAAACATAGATGAATCAATATTTGGGTTGAAGTGTTAACCACTGATTTCTAGTCGTGTCCATTTTTGGAAGACCAAACAAAGTAGTTTCGCTTTCACAATGAAAAACACAGCGGCCTAGCGTGAGCGAAAGCCTGGCTTAGCGTGAGCTGAAGCCGGGCAAGAGTGCGCTGAGGCGGCGGAGTCGAGAACGGTGGTCCCGGCGAAGGAGCGGTGAAAACGGTGAACGCCGATCCGGCCATCCACAGCGTGAAGTTGATGTATTTCCTCAGCGACTAGCACGGATCAGCTCCAGGCATGACGAAGCGGATATCGTTCTCTTTTGGAAGACCAAACAAAGTAGTTTCGCTTTCACAATGAAACACACAGAACCTTCACGACATGGCGGCGGCGGCAACAATACTACAGCGAGAATAAAAGTTACGCCTTCTTTCTTTGCGTGAACATTTGGGCGGCGTTATGCAAATCTTCCCACACAGTTAGGTAGATATGTGGGGGCGTGTTCGAACGAGCCGTTTTAGGTAGGTGTGGCTGACTCTTAACTTTTATAAAGAATATCTCTTTGGATTTGAGACTTTAGTCTTTGCAAATGTACAGATCTTCTTTATGCACCAAGAGCTTGTAACACTCCAAAGAGAAAGAAAAAAATGAAATTGCATCATATGACCCCTTTAAGAGCTAACGCTGCTGAACGTGACGCGGATCTGACACGCATCATATTTTATCTCAACTCCTTTTACCTTTTCTGACCCACTCCAGGTCTTAAAGTCTCTATTAATGAGCTGGCGAGTTAAATCGGGTGTGTTAGATGAGGAAGACAGTGCTGGGCTGCTCCAAGACAGTTTTGAAAACCATTTCAAAGACATGTTCTTAAATGTGACTCATATAACATATATTACATGCATGCACAGTTTTAAGGCAGCTTTAATCGTATTTTTGGTAACTTCATGACTTAACTGACCACGACATTGCATGCACGTAGTTTATTTCGCGCTTTGATATGAAAGGATACAGGCTACAGTGCGCGCGCCGGGCACAATTGAAGATTGAAGAGTATGTGCTGCGAGCACAGTACCGTTTCCGCACTCGCTTGACTCGCACCTGGCGCTGAAGTGAAGTGGAGCGTCTCCCGTTCTCAGTCGTTCTGCGACTGAATAAATTATCTTCTTGTCAAGAGAAAAAGTGACAGAAACAGCAGTTGCTGAGCGGCCGGCTGACTTGACAGCGGAGCGGCCGGCTGACTTGACGGCGGAGCGGCCAGCGTGCTTGACGTAGGAAAGGCTGGCGGGCTTGAGAGTGGAGCGGCCGGTGGGCTGGAGACAGGAGTGGTTCTGGATCGGGGCCTGACGCTCCCCAGACAGTCAGTGTGGCGTCATCCAACACCGTCTTAACGGCGGGCCCACAGAATTCCCTGGCGTACTCCACAAATGGGAGATCCCTGCGAGCTTGGGCGGAGAATTTTGCGGCGATTTCCATGATTGGGGGAGGGGGGGGACAGAAAACAAAACACTTTCAAAAACGGGGAGAAGGAGCGCCGCTTACTGTTTGGTCCAGTTTTCTGTCACGATCTGCCTATTGTGTTGGAGTGCGGAGCGAAGGAGTGAGGAGATGCGGAGACGTAGGAGAATCTTCGAGGAGTTCTTTATTAAACATAACCAGGGAAACACACACATAGGACATCGGCCTGACGTATAAGACTGGACCCAGGACTCAGGAAAACACAGGGCGTAAATACAGGATCTAAACGAGGGAATTTATATATATATATATATATATATATTGCATGGCCAATCATATTTGAGGACTATTGTATAACTAAGTATTAGTATTTGAGTACAATCACTCATGTTTTACACCCTTGCATTTTATTCCACATTATATGTTTCATTGTTGAATCAATTAGTCTGCCTCACTAATAATTTTACATTTTTTTAATCACATATAGAGACTGATGAAGAATTTGTCGGACCCTACAGATGGCAGCTGAATTTTAGAAGGGGCTGGGAGAACATTTCCAATGATCACATTCTAGAAGCCCAGTATTCACTCCCCAACACTAAAGGAATCAAGATCTATAACACCCAAGCTGGGTATGTGCAATTGTATTATTTACTTGAGTGTACCAGATTATAAATTAGTCACCCCAAATTCAAATTCTGTCATTATTTTCCCACATTTCATTCCTGTATACTGTAACATACCATAAAACGCATCCCCTGTTATTCTGTGCTTGTAGTTTAACTATTGCAGCTATATATTTAAACTGCTATATATCTTTCTCATTTGCATTATAGGGTTATTTCTATTGATTTCACTAAAATGAGAGTTCTTCAGAAAACAAATATTAAAGTGCGGCGTATGAGCGCAAAAGATACAGAATGGCTGTGGTATTACAGAGGTGACCACTGCTGGTATCAGTATGGAGAGAAGGTGAGTTCTACATTAATGCATATGACCTGTGGACTGGACAGTCTCGTCTTAATTTGTCCACTAATAATATTCTAGTGGGATATACATGGTTTCACAGGAGACATTTTCCTCATTACTCATGTTTTACACCCTTGCATTTTATTCCACATTATATGTTTCATTGTTGAATCAATTAGTCTGCCTCACTAATAATTTTACATTTTTTTAATCACATATAGAGACTGATGAAGAATTTGTCGGACCCTACAGATGGCAGCTGAATTTTAGAAGGGGCTGGGAGAACATTTCCAATGATCACATTCTAGAAGCCCAGTATTCACTCCCCAACACTAAAGGAATCAAGATCTATAACACCCAAGCTGGGTATGTGCAAAAAGATTAAAAAATATTTTAAAAGATGAATTAGTCACCCCAGATTAATATTCTGTCATTATGTTCCCACATTTCATTCCTGTGCACTATAACATACCATAAAACTCATCCTCTGTTACTATGTGCTTGAAATATTATTGCAGCTGCTGTAATTTTAAAGGAATTATTTGACTTTTTCTCATTTACATTATAGGGCTATATCAATTGATTTCACTAAAATTAGAGTTCTTCGGAAAACAAATATTAAAGTGCGGCGTATGAGCTCAAAGGATACAGAATGGCTGTGGTATTACAGAGGTGACCACGGCTGGTGTCAGTATGGAGACAAGGTGAGTTTTACATTAATGGATAAGACCTGTAGACTGGACAGTCTCATTTTAATTTAATTTACCCACTAATAATATCCAAGTGGGATATACATGATTTCACAGGAGAGATGTTACTCATTTTGTCTGAACCATAATTTTTCAAAAACAAAAGTGTGGTGGAAATGACAGTAATGTTAATAACAGTGTTGCAAATTAGTTTGATGTATTTTGGAATAAAATGGCAGACTGCTTTATCTTGCTATGGCTAAATGTTAGTTATCAGTTTAGGCATCCTAAGTACATCAAATTTTTGGCATAATTTGGCTTTGAAATGTTCTGTGCACTACTACCAAATGAGTAATATATATAAATAAAATATAAATAATATAACATATATTTACATATTCTTTGTTCATTAATATTTTATGATGGATCTGGAATATGATGGATTTTTCTATAGGATAATTTATATTGGGTATATTCAATCGAGTTTGGGACAAAAAAAACAACAATAAAATCTATCAAATAAAGGCATTATACAGTTTCCAAGACAATTTTGATGCAACTTTCATATAACAAAAAAGTTGAAATAGTTTTTACATAAAAGAAGTATCTGTTGCTGAAAAAAAAAACATGAAAAGGGTGAAACTGTATCTCACTGTTTAAGGTTATATGGATATATGGGGAAGTCGTGGCCTAATGGTTAGTGAGTCGGACTCGTAACCCAAGGTTGCGGGTTCGAGTCTCGTACTGGCAGGGACTGTTGGTGGGGGGAGTGAATGTACAGCACTCTCTCCCACCTTCAATACCACGACT